CAAATGTGTTCACGTCAAATTATATAAAAATTATATATTGATCACATGCACAGACCATATATAGTATAGTAATATGTTTTCTATATTCAATAACTACAGTTTTTGATTGTTGTGAGAATTGCAGATAAAATATTTATCAGAATATATTTTGATCTCCTAAAAAATATATCTTTGTTCAACTGAATAAACAAATGACGTACTTCTTTCAACACAATAAACAAACAACGTATTTCTTTAATCGGTTTTTCACGGAAATTTTTTAAAATTATATTTTTAAGTAAGTTTTTTAGCGGAAAATTTACGGTTTCACTTATTTGGCAGAAAAATCATGAAATCAAAATTTTGACTGCTAGTGTTTGGAATCACATTTTTAATGTAAATGTTTTGGCGAAAGATTTTTTATGAATTTAATTTTGGTGGAAAATTCATAAAATCAAAATTTTGATAAAATATTTTTAAATTATATTTTTGTTGTAATATTGTTAGGTGGGAGAGTTACTTATTCATAGTTTTGGCAGAAAATTTGCGAAATGAGTTTTTTATGGATTCACTTTTTGGCGGTAAATTCACAAAATCAAAATTTTGATAAAATATTTCTGGATCATATTTTTGATGTAATTTTTTTAGTTGGGAGAGTTACTTATTCATATTTTTGGCAGAAAATTTGCAAAATGATGAGTTTTTTATAGATTGAATTTTTGGCGGAAAAATTCACAAAATCGAAATTTTGATAAAATATTTTTGGATCATATTTTGATGTAATCTTTTTAGGCGGGAGAGTTATTTATTCATAATTTTGGCAGAAAATTTGCGAAATGAGTTTTTTCGATGGAAAATATTTTGAATCTTATTTTAAGTAATTTTTTGATGAAATATTTACAAGTACAAATGTTTGTGTGAAATTTGCGGAATCAAATTTTTAGAAGTAGAGTTTCTTCAATCTTATTATCATCTAATTTTATCTCATTATAAATAAAGAACAAAAATTTATATTACATGTGAATGTATTCCAATTATATAACAATATTACGAACCAGAATTAGGACAAAAAGTGACGAAATGAGATGAAAAGCTATAGAAAATGAGTAAATATGAATAAAAAATTTAAAACAAAGAATAAAAAGAATCATTTTATTTAATTTAATGTTTTATAAATACTTTAAGTTTTGTGTAATTTGTTTTTGCTATATATAATTTCTCAACCCTATTAAAATATTTTTTCACATACTAAAATGTTTTACAAATATATTATTGAATATGTCAATCACTTATTTATTATATTATAATTAATATTTATTATTATTAATTATTTTTTAATCTAGATTTTCATGCCCGCTCATTTATAAACATATCTTAATACAAAATACAAGAAATATAGCAACAATAGTTTAATATTTTGAACTAATAATTTACTAAATATATTCGATAAAAATCAGAATTGGATATTCTTCAAAAATCAATACAACAATAACACCAATGTCTCACCTAGAGATGACACCTCAACATTTTGGAGCTTTCTCAAGATGACATCTCAGCAAAAATATTCACCAATCAAAATATTTTATTAATACACATCATCTACTAACTTTTATTATTTTTAACTTAAACCCATTAAAACCCAAATATTTCTTTGTTAATTTTTTTTTTGCCAAACCCAAGCCCAAATAATAAATAACATGAAATAAAAAAAATTATTTTATTTTTTTTACCATCCCCAAATCCAAATAATAAATAACAACAAATAAAAAAATTAAAATTTTGTTTTATATTTTTGCCAAACCGAAACTCAAATAATAAATAACAGCAAAAAAATTAAAATTTATAACTATTTGTTTGCTTGATAAAGACGTATATGATTGAAGAAAGTGTAGACTCATCATTAACTATGCTTCCATAACAAGAACGCAAAAAACGTTATGTTATAAAAAGCTCACATATCAGCTAAAATTTGAACCAATAAAAACATAAACATAATACATATCATTAACACACTAATGAAATCAGTTTATTATTTTGCTGACTCATTAAAAAGCCCAAAGTTTACAAAAAATGGAAGTCGAAAGCAAAAGAGGAGAAGCTGAGACCACCACAGCTTAGAGATTCGCATTTCGGGTGGTTACTGAGAACAAATTTTCTTGGGTTTGGCGGGAATAGTAATTTTTTTGGTTTTGGTAGGAAAATGTGATTTTCAGTATTGGTAGGATAACCTACTTTCTCGGTTATGGCGGAAAAAACGAATTCTCGGGTTTGGCGGAAAAATGTGAATTTTTGGTTTTGGTGAGAAAAAAAAATTTGATTTTGACGCAAAAACAAAATATTTTAGGAGGTGTTATTGGTTCTTGTATTTTAATGGATTTGAGAATCCAAACCAAATTCAGTGTTATTGGTTCTTGTATTTTAAAACAGTGGTATTGATTCTATAATTTTAAAATCCATAAGGAAATACAGTGTTATTGATTCTATAATTTTAAAATTTTAAAATTATAAATATCTAAGTTTTAACTGAATTTGAATGGATTTGGAAGGATTTTTATGACTAAAATACAAAGACCCAGATACAAGGTCTAACCTTGGTATTTGAGTGGATTTGATTTTTTTTCTATTTGCTGATTTTGAAATTAATAAATTTATCAAATCGAAATAAGATTTCTAAATTCATCAAAATACAAGAACCAATAACCCCTACTTAGTTTTGACGAGAAAATGCGAGGGAAATGCAACTTTTCAATTTTGATGAAAAAATACGATTTCTCGATTTTGATAGGAAATACAAATTTTTGGCTTTTGATGGATAATGTGATTATTGATTTTCGCAGGAAAATGTGATTTCTTAGTTTTCACGGAAAATTAAATTTAACAATTTTGGCAGAAAATGCAATTTCTCGGTTTGATGGAAATTTTTTTTTTGATTTTGGCGAGAATAAACAATTTCTCGGTATTGATGAAAATGAAAATTTTCAGTTTTTGACATACAATGTGATTTTTTTGGTTTTCGCAAGAAACGCAATTTCTCAAGAGATAATATAATTTTTGGTTTTTGCGGGAAATTGTAGTTTATCAGTTTTGGTAGGAATGCAGATTCTTGTTTTGACGAGTTTTTTTTTTTTTTTGGCGGGAATGGGCGATTTCTTGGTTTTTGCGGGAAAATATTTTTTTTTGGTTTTGACGGAAAAATATGATTTTTTTGGTTTTTTTTGCAGGAAGATGAAATTTTTTGGTTTTGGTGAAAAAATTTGATTTCTCTGTTTTGGCGGAAAAACACATGTTCTTGCGGGAAAATTTTGATTTTTTGGTTTTTTCTGGAAAATGCAATTTCTTTTTTTGGTAGGAAAATAAAATTTCAGTGTTGACGAGAAAATGACTTTTTTGGTTTTGGTGGGAATAAGCGATTTTTCAGTTTCGTGGAAAAATGAAATTTTTTTGTTTTGTTGGAAAATGTAATTTCTCGGTTTTTGTAAACATATAATTTTTTTTTGTGCTAAATTTTCAAGTTACAATATGTTTAAAGTAACCAAAATTGAATTATTTAACTTCAACTAAATTGATATTTCAACAGTTCAAACAAAACTTTCTGTTTAGTTCTAAAGCAATAGCAATGATTTTGATAATATCAATGATTTTGATATAAATGTTATTGATTATAGTTTGGTAGTTTTAGAAACATTTTTTTTTGTTCAATGTAGTTTTAGAAACATATGTTTATAATAAATATGTGATAAATAAATAAATTTTATAATTCAAAATAATCATATTAATTAATAAATTTTTTTAAATGGCAATTTGCTTTATATAATTTCAAAGGAGGATCAAGTGGTAATTTAGTAGAGAAAATAAATTACATTTGTCATTAGCATGAAGATACTTATAAATGTATTGTTTTATTCGTACATATACATTTATAGATAGTTAGCTAAACAAATTTGATAGTAGATTATAATTTAAAAAAAAGATATATAAATTCAGATTTAAAACATATAAATACATAACTTAAGCTAATAAAAAATAAATATAATACTCATTTATATTATAAAACTAATTTTATTATATTAAAAATATATACAAAATCTGGAAATATATCTCGCAGCGTAGCGCGGATAAATACCTAGTAGTACTCAATAAAGCAACCAAATTTTTCGAAAATTCTCCAAAGTTCTTATCAAATGATCAATCATACTCAATCTCATTCACCTCCTTCTTTAATTTGAGATGGATGAATGGATTTCAAGCTAAATTTGTGTTGCGAATATTAAATCAAATAAAAATGAATGTAATATTTAGACTATCACTATTTACAAACAGTAGGTTACAATTTTTATAAATTATATTTGCAGATTTATACCGATTACACAACAACAAAAAATTATATAAACCAAAATTTTCTTTTTCAAATTTCGCCGATTAATCAAAATGAAAAGACAAAAAAAAAACAATAATGTACAATTTTTTTTTATCCAATGAATCATCACAAAATTCCTAAATCTATCTTATTAACTCCATGACACAATACACAGGGGTCAAATGCACAACTGGCTTTTATATTAGACTTCAGATTGTCATTGCTATATATTGCATGCCAAATTTGGTGAATACTTTGTTGGAGTAAGAAATTAGACTTCGGTTTCGTACAACTATGCGCGGCCTTCTTCAAGCATAATTAGAGCAGGCAACACAAATATGCCCATCATACCAGCCTGGCTCAGTCATTTGATTGGAATTGTGAAGTTATTTGATGTGTTTATCTTTGTCAAATTAAAACCCTGTTCGGTAAAAAAATAGTTGGCGTTGCTTTCACCGTTCATAAATTTTTTTGTTCATGGATCGAAAAGTTTGTTTGCAAAATATATTAAAAAAAGGATGATTGAAGTATTCCGTATCTTACTTTACAACTATATTTTATTATTGATTTCATTTTCATGGTTACAGTAAATTCTTTGCATAATTTTTTTCATCTGATATGTTCATACAGGTTTCCACATTTGCTGGTTTGGGTTTCATCCATGTCCGAAAAAGATTGTAATGCTTAGATAAATTAGCCTGTTTAAATCATCTGTATTGGAGAACCCCAACATAGGATTCTTAAGTATATTTAAAAAAAATCCTAACTCAAAACCAAAAATGTGACTCCATCCAAAACAAAAGTCAGTTCTTGATAATCACCAAGAAAACAAACAGTATCGACACAGATACACATAACCTCGAAGATTTGAGTGATGCAGCGAATTAATGTTTCATCTTCAGCCTTCTCATCATGTTACATCTGGTGCAACCGGAAGATGGACAGAGCCAACATCTTGTATTACCAAACGCAGTTATACGAATAAACCAAATACATGAAAGTGTTATTGTCTCTAAATGGCAATGTGTACCCTACGAATCCACACAAGACCAAATTCAATGTGACTGTAATCTTAATATTCTAAAATTCCCTGAACATATCCACAAATTGCCAAACTTTTGATGTTATGTAGTATCTACATCTAACAATAACGATACAAAAGAAACAGCAAAGAGACGAATCAAAGATACCATCGTAGACGCTGGCTCCAGGACCAGCAGGACGAGGGGTTTGTCCTGGTTGTCCAGGCTTGGGAGCATCCTCTTGATGATCATAATGTCGTAACCTCATTCAGCAAATCACACAAACAGCAAAAAGATAGAACATAATAGTCTAATGTTTTGTTGTAAATTCAGTGAAGGTTTACTAGCATGCTAAATTCATCTAAAAAAGTCTACTTCAATTGAAGCTATAAAAGACTATTCTGAAACAACTATGTTATAGTTCAAAAAGGTAACAAGAATCTTAAGAAAATACAAGCCATGGATTCTATGATTCTGGTAAATTAAGAGCCAAGCAAATCCCTGAGAAGTTCCACTTATATCTACAACGAGAACATGCATTTGGTGAGTTAAAGACTAGCTATACCTGAAAATCAGATGGACCTCATGACCTCAATGTTCACGAGAATTGCAGACTATATAATTAAAATGTTAGAATGGATCTTCTAAGGAAGGAGGGAGACGACTTCGATCTGACAATCCTCCACCAGGAAGGAAGGCCTTCAACATCTGCATAGGTACTTGCCTTTAGTTTCAGCCTTTGGTTTCCTAGAAGTAGGAGAAACCTTGGGTAAGTTTAAAACCGCAAACACAGCGATTGACTGAGTTTACCAAACATTCTAGACCAAGTGAAACTAGTACTTGAAAATGGCAGAGCCTGTACTAGGAATCTTTACATCTTTTTGCTAAAAAAAAAACTCGAGATTTTATCTTTCGCATTCAACTATTTTTTCCAAATATGCTAATCAACCTTTTAACTCGAATATACTGCTCTGCATTGCTTTAATCCAAAAAAAGTCATAGAATTCACAAACCCAACTGATTAAAAAGAGGTACGAAAGCTACACACCTCGTGAATGGTGCAGACGTCTACGAAATCCCTCCGCCTCGCTTATAACCCAAAATCCACCTTCTGGAACCAAAAAATCATCACTGGAGAATCTCGGAACGCCGCCGGGAAACCAGCTTAGAATAGCCATATATTCTTCAGAGTTCAGAGTAACATCAGAAACCAATGTCAAACTCACCTTCAAAGCTCCGGTTCTGGAAATTCAAAGAAACAGCAGAAGCTTCCTGAATCAGCGATGAAGAGAAAGAAGAAACGTAAAGAGATTGGATCACAGAATCTATTACCATTTACGCTCTATCAAGAAGAAAGTGTAAAATGGAGAAAATTTTTATTAACCAGTAAAAGTGGCAATACAGAGGTGTATATATACAACTCAATAATCGGATATAACCATATAATAAACCGGACAATTCCAGAGCCCTTAACCGAGTATTATGTATAATTATCAAAATTATATGTACAGACTCTAATAGCACCCTTAAGATGGAGGTGCAAAGATGTTGCTAACTCCCATCTTGCAAATGAGTTCTCGGTATAGAGCTGGATGCAATGCCTTAGTAAGAGCATCCACCAGTTGATGTCCCGATCGAACAAACATGGTTTTTAGAAAACCACAGTTGATTGCCTCACCGATTTTGTAGCAATCGAACTCAACATGTTTCGTTCTCTCATAATAGATTGAGTTGTTAGCAATGTGAATGGTCGCTGTATTATCACAATACATATGTGATAATACACAATACATATGTGTATTATCACATTTAATACACATATGTATTGTGTATTATCACAATACATATGTGCAGGAGGTTGAAATAGTATCTGAAGGTCCGTCAATAACCGAGATAACCATATCATCTCCATCGTAGCAAGAGCCATTGCTCGAAACTCTGCTTCAACTGTACTGCAAGATACTGTGTCCTGTTTCTTCGATTTCCAAGAAACCAAAGAATCGCCAATAAACATGCAGTAGTCAGACACAGATCTTCTAGTATCAACACACGCTGCCCAATCAGCATCCGCATATCATCTGAGATCAAACTTGGTATCTGCAAGATAAAACAGACCTTGCCATACTGTACCTTTCAGACACCGTAATAGTTTGTGTGCAGCATTGAGATGTTATCATGCGGATCATGAGAAAACTGACACAAAGTGTTTACGGCATAAGAGATATCAAGCCTTATAGTATGAAGATACAAGAGCTTCCCAATGAGTTTCCGATAGGAAGAAGGGTCTGTTAAAGGAACTCCTGTGTCTTTGGAAAATTTAACACTAGGATCCATAAGGATGCTCGATGGCTTGCTATCAAGAAAACCAGTGCGAGCCAGCAATTCCAAAATGTACTTCCTCTGGCACACTGATATGCCTGCAGCAGAACGAACAATCTCTAAACCTAAAAAATATTTGGCTTCACCTAGATCTCTGAGTTTGAAGTGAAACTTCAGCTCATCCTTGAAATCAATCACAGCCTGGTCATTATTGCTGACAATCACGATATCATCAACGTAGACTAATACTCCAAGTGTGATATCATTATGACATTTGACAAAGAGAGTATGATCGACATGAGACTTCGTGAAACCCATACCAAGTAAGGTTGAGGATAGTTTGAAAAACCATTGTCGAGAGGCTTGCTTCAAGCTATAAATCGACTTATAAAGGCGGAAACAACATTAGGAGGTAAGGGATCACCTTAAATATCAGCATAACCCGGAGGAATCTTCATGTAAATCTACTCGTCAAGGTCACCATTGAGGAAAGCATTGGAGATATCAAGTTGACTCACTAACCAATTCATATTCGAAGCAGTCAAGAGAAGCATATGAACCGAAGTCTGCTTAGCAACATGGGAAAAAGTCTCTTCGTAGTTTAATCCCTCTTGTTGAGTAAAACCCTTAGCAACAAGGCGTGCCTTGTATCTCTCAATGCTTCCATCAGTATTATACTTGATTGTGAAAACCCGCTTGCAGCCAATAGCCTTCTTGTTAGGTGGGAGAGTGGTAATAATCCATGTGTGAGTCCTTTCCATAGCACCAATCTCTACTTTCGCAGCATCACACCACACCTCTAAATTCTTGGCTTCTAAATACTTTTGTGGGACAAAGGCATTTGTAATAGCATTTATGAAGGCGCGAAAAGGTTCAGATAGATTTGAATAAGAGGTATAGTTTGTGATGGGATATAGGATAGTACTTGTAATATTATAACAATGAAAGTTCTGCAAGTTTTTAAGGGTTTTATTTTGTCTGTAAGATTTGGATTCGTAGGGAGTCAAAATCTCGGAAGATGACTCACTTTGATGTAAAGGAGCATCAGAAGATGTTTTCACAAGAGGCAGATGAACATCAGGGGAATGAAAATGAGGAAAGAAGTTTTGGTTACATCCGTAATGTTGGATGAAGCCAAAGGAAATGTATCCTCATGAAATATGACATGACAATAAATGAAAACAGCATGTGTCTCTATATCTAATAGCTTGTAACCCTTGTAACCTGCTGGATATCCTAAAAAAAATACAGGCTCTAGAACGTGGTTCAAACTTATGTCTACCCTTTGGAGAAGTGGAACAGTAGCATAAACAACCAAACGTTTTTAAAGATTGATAGTCAGGGGTTTTGCTAGTGAGTTTCTCATAAGGAGACTTATTGTCTAAAACTGGTGTTGGGAGTCTATCAATTAGAAACACAGCTATTAGAACACAATCACCCCAATATTCTAAAGGCACATTAGATTGAAAAAGAAGGGCACAAGCTACATTCAGTATATGCTCATGCTTTCTCTCTACAACCGAGTTCTGTTCAGGTGTTTCATGACACAAGTGATATGCAACAATTTATTTTTTAGTGAATAAATGATTGAATTTCAGTTCATGAGCATTATCAGATCTAACAGATTGAACTTTCACTTTATATTGAGTCTCAACCATTGCAATTGATATATCATGGTTTTTATGGTTTTTAACCATGATGTAAGTCCTTTTTATTGAGTCTTTTTGGTCTTTTTAGAGTCCTAGAAGAGTCTTTGCAGGTTATAGCATGTCTGGAGCATAATTGGAGATATTGGAACCTTTTGGAACATTTCGAGTTGAAGCCACGAAGTACCCAGCTCGAAGAAGAAAGTATGCCATATGGTGACGCTCGTCACCACCCTTGGTGACGCTCGTCACCCATCAAGGAAGGAGCGTGGCCTTAAAAGTATGAAGACTATTTGCAGAATTGGCCCAGAAGTTCCATTATTTACAAGAAGACCCCAGATCGTGTTTAGCCTCTATTTATTAGGTTTTTCAGCCATTGTTGGCGATGATCTTAGTTTTTGAGAATTCAGAGAGCTTAGAGAGAGATTTATTCAGAGCTTTTTGGGGAGACAAATCCTGTACTCTTTTGAAAAAATTTCGAACCCTCTTATTCTTTTACTCTTTCTCTTAATGCAATTTTATTCAGTTATGTTTTGTGATTCCATAATCATGTCTACGTAATCTGCTAGTTAGGTTAGGGCTTTTTCAAAGGTTTATGAAGGGTTTGTATAATTGCTATCTGTTAGGAATATCTTTTGGTTTTCCATCTCTGCTTGCTTTATAATCGAATTTCTAAGACACATCGTTTAGAAATCCGAAAATCATAGGTTGTTAAATATATGTGAGAGCATTATTGATAACCTGAACTAGTATTTGATGAGCAAAACAACTTAGTGTAAAGAGATTTGGCTTAGGAGTTTTGTAAACAATTGAATATGATCATTCCTGCATGCTTAGGTTGTTAGGATTTGCAAAGAAATTTGAGATTCTGTGATTTAGGCATAGATAACTTCTGCAATGAGAATTGATTAGTTATACATCAGTGATTCATGTTTAAAACGGTTCTTAATCATTCCTGATTTCATGCATTCTACATTCTTGGATTCAACCTGCGAACTGTCCCGACTTAGCGCTTTTAGTCTTCTGAAACTTAGATCATCTTACAAAGATCGTTTGCTTACTTTTATTTATTCATTCGCATTACATACATTATATTCTGCTTAGCTTAATCCGAATCTACATTCGATAGTGTAGTTTGCATTACTCCTTGATTAATCGAATTGCAATGGTTGATCACCAGTAGTTGCAATTGTTAGTCACCAAACCATAAATCCAACAGTTGCAATGGTTAATCATCAAAGGTTGTAACCATAAACCCAACAGTTGCATATGATTTATTTGAATGTTCATTTAAGCAGTTACAACAGTTCATCAACGGTTGCACTGATTCACTTAAACTTCTAACATTGCCCCCCCCCCCCCCCCCCCCCCCCCCCCCATTTAAGGGTAATGATAGATTCACTAAATAAATAACATATATCTAAACTTATGCATAAATGAAAATATAGTATGATTGAATTTTCATCTTAATGATATTTCACATTTCAAATGCCTGAGAATCAAGATGTCCTATGGATTGCATCCTCTTAACTTATTTGGGCACATGAAGATAATACACACACAAATTTCCACACTAGTCTAAGTGTATATATTATAAGCTATGTGTCCCTATCCATTCATAAGCGTATACAAAGCGAAGTCCTAGCTTCTTGAAGCGCCTTACAAAGACCAGCACAAGATACAAAATAAGGAGTGAGTCATGGATAACTTCATGGAGAACCTTCATAGTCCGGCCTAGATAGATGCTATAATGATTAGGCCGTGACATTCTCCCCCACCCAATTTGGCAATGCCCTCGTTGCCGTGAATTCCTTGCGCTCGTCTGTGAATTACCGCAGTTCACTCTCCGGCTCCCATGTTGCTTATTCCCATTAGCCAATTTCTTGGTCCGTTTTTGAGACTTCTCTAAACGAACCCAGGGAAGGTCATCATAATCTTCCCATGTTCTAACCATCTTATCCGCTACTGGACGTTGTGACTTGACTGTCGTTGTGGCCAATGTATGATGAGTTAACTCTAATAACCCTGCAAGTTGTTTGGTTTTTACTTTGTCTTACTGGCACACAAGACAAGTCTTCATATTGAGCCCCACAGTATCTAGCGAATGTGGCCATAAATAAGCCATCTCTACAAGTGCCATGGTCTGCTTTTGTTCAAGATGTTCTTTGCATAGGGTGTCGTGTCCCTTGTGGATAGTGTCTCATTGCAAGCTCCTCCATTCTGGCACATCGAGGCGTCCCCTCGTCATGTACAATAACCCATCTTATATTAAAAACTGAGAAGTCTCGCCCTTCCTTGCCAACTTCACCAACTCTTTACCAGGGTTGTCATGGTTTAATCCCTCCCGATCCTGAACCACGACTGTACCCTTGGCCTGATAAATCGCGGCCAGTTCTGCTGGTTTGGAGGGGGCTATACAATATGGTGGCTTGGCTTCTACTACC